GCTCAGTAGCCGGAGCAAGGACGAAGAGACGGTGATGGCAATGCCCCTTGGTTTTTGTCTGGACCCGTGGCTGGCTCTGCCGAAACCCCGAAACCTTGAACGTGGTGGCTAGCGTGGCTGAAGCCTGGCAACTTAGTCTCCCGAGTTAGATTTACCGGCTGGTAACAAATATTGTCCGTTTTCCCGGAACAATTTCTTGATGCGAAGCATACAGAGGGCACATGTGGAAACCTCGAAGAAGCATGCTGGTGGTGCTCAGGAAACAGCCGACTTCCCGTGGGGCTTGGCAGAAACTCTTCTCATCCTGCGACCCAACTGCGCAATAGGGAAATTAGACGGGGAGATCCTGTATACAAGCTCAAAATCTCGAATATTGGAATTCACTTGAAATTCACCCGGGCACCCCTGGAACTGGCTAGTTTGAAGGGTTCGTCCGGTTACTGTACAAAGTCCCTGGAATCCCTGGAGCCCCCGGCAGTGGTGAGGAATGTATCGCATCACACACTCCCCATCCGATAACAATACTTCGATACTAAATACGTAAGATGTCTGTTACGCCGCCCCCCACCTAAGTTCATCTTAAATTCTATTTAAGATACAGTGAATAGAAACCACTGCCACTAGCCACTAAGCGAGCCGAGTGACGTGAAAGCATGACTGTAGAAATGAACCAGTTTCCTTTCACCCTATTTTGTAAACAGAAACCAGGGTAAGGCAGGGATAGCCCTAGACGGGAGAATAAACCTCCAAATAATGTACGTGAGCAAAGGGACTTCAATCTTGTGTTACTGAGATCGACTCGACATCCTTGGTCCGGAGGCCGGACTCGAAATCGGCAAGTGGCTTATCAGTGTGGAAACAGCAATAAATAATTGTTATAAGTGGTAGCATTTTTGTTGGCAATCCTCTTCCTGTCAATGTTGAGATGCGGATAGGTAGAGTAAGTTCATTAGTTTCTGTCCAGCATGTATTTATATTATAGTCGACATCCGCTCGCTAATGGTGCCTTGCTGTGCTCACCCCCGAAAGGCTATCCTAGTCCCAAGGAGACCTTCGGTGCGATACTGTTACTATTTGGCGCCACAAATTCATGCCCGAAAAGGATGGTCTATCTATACACATCTATTGAAGGGCGATGTAGAGCACAAGATCTCGAAATAGTATCAACTTGAAGGCAATGATCAGATTAAGAAAAGTGCTTGGAGGCTAAAGTACCTGGGAAGCATTTATCTATGCAATCCATAGAACCAAAGAAAGTTGAAGCAAGGCAAATCATGCCAACGAGAACCTTGAAGTGATGAAGCTGGAGCTGCGTCTAACTATGTGCTAGCACCATCCTCCCCCCTTGGTCTCAGACGCAGCGGAAGCTCTCAGCCAATGAGGTATTACCACCAATGTAGGTAGCCTGAGCAGGATACGGGCACAGAATGCGATGAGGCGCATGTGGAAGGTCCGGGTATTGCACGGGTAGGGTTTCCGGGACAGTGCCATTCTCGACCCAGCGTCGCAGCGCCTGCATGACGGTGGTCGGCTGTCCGCCAAGGCCGCCCGAGCAATGGCCCAACCCAGGCGATTCAAAAAACCGCCAGAAGTCATGCACCTCTGGGAACCGCTCCTGCACCTCATCGTAGAGAAGCTCGGTGCCCTTGGTAGGAATTTGAGGGTCGGCCTGTTCAAAGGTAAGTCGTCGTAGTCAAGGAGAGGTTCAACTGGGGAAAGAAGGTAGCAGCGGGACCAGATGAATACGTACCATGCCATGGTAGGTGATAAGTTTGCCGCCCGCAGCCTTGAATGCGGACAAATCTGGATCGGCTGCATTCAATGCATCGGCATATTCTTGGGTGGCGAGCTCGAAAAACTCCTGATACTGCTGGTGGCTCATCCCGAAGCTGTCAAAACTGGCATTCTTGGCCACAAAGAGATTGAACCACTCGTCCTTTAGCACGCTGATATTGAATCCTGGGATTGACCCAAAGGTGCTACCAATGTCAGACCCCGGGTTGTACCCAAACCAGAGTCGGCGACCGTCTGTGGTCTGCGCGCCCGACCATGCAGCATCGGCGATTAGCGCAGCGCCCGGGCTGAGTGGTATGGTCCGGTTCAGGGTCGCACACGGGAAGGTCTTGTTCACCGCGGTGTAGGGATCGTAGTTGCAGGCGGTCATATTTGAGATAAGTCCATCGACCACCCCATCAAGGGGATCACAGGCGGCGATGGCCTCGCTGGTAAGGAAGTCAAGCTCACAGACTAGCGGGCTCACCTTGTGCCAGATGCGCATAAAGAGAGGGTAGTAGAGTGAGGAGGTAAATTTAGTCCAGGATTGGGCAGGTGCCGAAGCTGCGATCCCATCATAGGCACTCGGGTACCGCTCAGCAAGCATTAGTCCTTGTCGGCCTCCTTGAGAGCAGCCGCTCCAGTAGGAGTATTCCGGGGCGCGGCCATAGAAGCTACGCACCAAGCTCTTCCCAATAAGGGCTTGATCATTGTAGGCCCGCGATCCGAAATTGTTCAGAGCCACGTAGTCGATATTCCCAGGGCTGGTAAGCGCCCATGTAGTCGGTCCAGTTGTGTCAATGCCCAGTCCAGCATCAGTCGTGGTCGTAGCATAGCCTTCCCCAAGCGCTCCTCCCATAAACGTGTCCGACAACAGCCATCGGCCAGCAGCCCATCCGCCGCCCCCTGTTGCCTGTAGACGGCCGTTCCACTGATCCGGCGGCGGGAGCCAGGTTTCGACAGTGATCCGGTCATCATATCCGGGATGGGTGTAGGTTACTGTGATGTTACAGAACCTGGCATTATCCAGACTAACAGCACCGCCATTGTAGTTGAAATCGGCGAAAATATATGTGCTATAATTGCTGACCCAGGATGCGGAGAGAGAAAGAACTTCAGCCCCGAACACAGACGGTGTCGGAATGGCCGTGGGTGAGCAAATACTGGAGTTCGTCATAGCCAGTACTGGATAACAGAAACGAAGAGGAAAATAAATGTGAGGGAGAGAAAGCAGAATGAATGACTGAAACCAAAGTACCCTACCTTCCCTCTCCCAACTGGAGCTTTTATATCTTACAATTGAGTACAATGTCTCATCTCATATGACGTATTTCGCACTGGCACTGCATAGTATAAGACTTTCCGAGTGGAGCCCCAAGCCTGCGGATCCCTCATTCCCTTCCCAAAGGGGAAGTTCGCTTTCGGGTTTGGCTTTGCCAAGTTTCCCCGATAGAACGGCAACTTCTACGCCCCACTTGACATGTTCTGGAACCAAATTAGGGCCGGCCAGGGGACAACCACGGCCGATCGAATCTACTGATTTTTTCCACTTATCCACAACCGCCCCCTGCCTGATGCTGAATTGTCTTGGATCCAGGTGTTATTGCGGATCGTCACGAGCCAAAGTGTTGTGCTCAGCGATGATTCGATCTTGCGGAGCCTTGAACACAGCCTTACCATGATTCATGGTCTCCAAGCCATCTGCTAACATGAAGAAACCCTTCATCCGTCATTTTTAAGTGACATCTCGTCTGGGGGACTGCCGTCTTGTCTAATTACCGTTTTTGCGTAGCCCCTGTTACTCACATGTATGTGTATTAAGCAAAGGCAATGTGTGAATAATCTAGATTTGTGATAAACAGAGGCTCGAGTTGATGGCTTTATTCATAACTCGAGGAACCCTCTTCATCTATTCAACTTATTCCATAGCACATGGATATGGAAATTAACTAGTTGCGTATAGCCAGATCGAACATCATATGCTGAGCACTCAGATTTTTCTCAATTGAAAATCATAATTAGTAATATTTTTTCTCTTTCACTCATTTCAAGTAGTAAGGAATCATTTGTTTAGTGATACAATAAGATCCTTTAGCTGAAGATGAGTGCCTATACTCGGTAGAAATAAGGTAAAGCCCAAATCAGATCCTGACACCAACTGAAATTGTAATGCCCCTTTATGTCGGTCATAACAGGGTCAAAACCACCACGGATAAGTCATCACCCAGCTATCATTCTCAAGAGCCGAGAAAGTTCTCACAGACTCTAGTTCTGCTCAATGGTCAAGGTTCGGAACCGTGACTCGCTCTATGTCGAACCCCCTAGCCCTGAATCTGGTGCCTGGATTGGCTGAAACCTGGCAATTTCCCGGGTCAGACCCTGGCGCCATGCTGCCTCAACAATGAACATCCCTTTTCATTTCAATCAAGACACCAATACCACGGTTGTGATAGATCCATACCACGCCCAATAGCATTGTGCGGCTTCACCCATCGACTATATAAAAGATCCCGAACTGCCGCAATCCTGACCTTGCACATGTCATACATCGACTAACATGAGCTCGGTTCTCATTAATCTTGTTGCTTTTTCATTGGAACCATAAATGGGCAGTTTACACATAGAAAACCTTTGGAAGGGACCTGAGTAAAATGTGGAGTGTAATTCACCACGCCCTACGGCCCTCGCCTTACGCCCTGCTGCCTGCAGAATTCTCCTTCACTGGGTAAGTGTACAGACTAAACACCGATGAATTCTACTTGTGCGAATAGCTTTCAGTGTCTTCGATTAATGGGTCTATTCTTGTTCGTACTATCATCTGCCACCCGACACAACCCTTCTAGAGTGCGCTCTAGTCCGAACCAAGCCGTGCTCTATCAAATGCAGAAGTCTCTTCGGAAATACTGGAGCCTGAGATCTAGGGTCTATGAGGCTATGCATAATAAGCGATAAATAGAGTCCAGAAAATGAGCTCCCAAGTTTACAATACACTTATAGACGCCGCTATCTGGCTACGAGGGACGAATACCTGGGGCCATTGGGTCTCTTCCCTTTCCCATCGGTCTAGCCGTTGCTATCTAAGCGTCCCGTGAGTCTGCCATTCCTTGAACCAAAGAATTGCTTTGTGAGGAAGTTCATCTAACAATTTGGGAATTAGATCCAGGCATACATGTCACTATGGACAACCCGAACCTTGAAATGCTCATTCCTCGCGCGACCCCTAATGCCCCAATGGATATGCTACAACCGAGGTCGAGTGCCCGAATCCCCGGCCCAGTGTCCGCAGTGCCGCGACTCTGTCACCGAGCGAGCTCAATTGGCCCAAGTTGCGCCGACAGAAGACACTCGAAGCCATGAAGGACTTCTTCGGCGATGTGCATGTGAAGAATATTGATGCCGTATCCTATCTCGAACGGGTGGCCAGCCCACCCAACGTCGATATCGCCGTGTCCGGTGGAGGGTATCGTGCGTTGATGAACGGATCCGGAGCCCTCAAGGCCTTTGATAAACGCACCGTGAATGCCACTGCCACCGGTTAATTGGGCGACTTGCTCCAGTCGGCCACATACCTATCTGGTCTGAGTGGTGGCGGGTGGCTGTTGGGCTCCCTCTACCTGAACAATTTTACCTCCATTTCGTCGCTGCAAACGGACAACTTGGGGAGTCCCTGGGAGTCTCTGAATTCCCTTCTCGAAGGTCCCGACGATGGAGGAGCACTCTTGTCCTATGCCAGAAAGTACTATGGAGAGCTTGTGACGGCCATGGCACAGAATAGTGATGCGGGCTATCCGACCACCATCACGGACTTCAGGTAAGCAGGCAAATTCTGCTCCCTTGCCACAAGTTAGGACACAGTCAGGACGCCGACTGGTCGACCTGCGTCGGGTGCGCCGTGCTGCACCGCTCGCTGCTGCGCACCAATACCCCCGTGCCCGAGTTGCCTGGGCAGTGCTTCCACCGGTACTGCGGGAGTGGTACGACGGACAGTCGGACGCCTGCGCCGTATGAGCCGAAGATTATTCTGGCAGCCGTCAGCGTGCGCAGTAACGGTGCTGGGACCGCTGTGGGCTGTGGATTGTGGGGGATAGTTTTTGCCGGTGGTGCTTGCGGGGCTTCTGGGGCAGGTTGGGCTGTTTTGACTTTTGGGGGTAGGGAGCTGGTAGGTGGGGTGTTTGCGTGTTCATAGGATAATTGGTAAGGCATGGGTAGTCTGGGTGTAAAGTGTGATAGAAAACATTCTATGAGTGAAGAAAAGACATCTTGACTACCAGTTTTAGTGTGACTATAGGTATTTGACTGAGGGAGAGACTTCTCTTACTATCTCAAAGTGTGAGGCCAGATTGATAAGTTCAAATTGACTCCAAAAGCGCCTATGGATCAAAGTATCTCACCGCTCAGCCAGATGGATTGTCAGACATCGCTCCAGGCAATGGTTCGCTCCCATAGTATTCAGATGTCACTGTACTGTACAGTAAATAGGTGGTGTTGGAAGGGAAGAGAAACAGCAGGGTGGTGTGGTCCAATCACAGGTCAAAATCCCCCATGCCTCGGCAGCAGATCTGCAAACAAGGCAAACAAGGTAAACAAGACAAACCTGCTGGCGCCGCCTTCGCCACTCTCTACTAATGTCTCTGCTACTACAATGAATTGGGATCAAATCTACTATGAGTATCTATCTCAACAGCCAGATACGAAAAGTACTTTCTTACTCTACTACCTCACATATTAGAGAAACAATGCACCCATTGTTGAGTCTTAGCCCTTGCTCGCTCGCTCTGGTAAGTAGCAGCTAGAAGCTATTGATAACTATTTGGAATAGCTTTAGCAGTCATGTCATCGGACTAACTAGACAAAGAGAGTGTCATTTGTGTACCTAGGTATCACAGCAAACAGCTGAAAGGTGGGGTTACACTAGAGGAGGGGCAGCAATCAATCAGATCCATAGCTTATGGCTTTGAGGTCTTCTACCCTCAGTACATTCTTATTGGCTGGTAGGGCTTGACAAAGAGTACCACAACCTAGGATACCAGGTACGTATGAAGCCTGTCTCTAAAACTGATACTGCCCACCCCCGCTTTCATCAACAAAGAAAATCATTCAATCGTAAAATGCCCGCTACTTGATATGTAGAGTACTATCTTTATCATCTTTCACGCTCCCCCTAACCCAGGCCCAACTTCTCATTGCGTGCCATCTCCTTGTGTTTAATATCAAAAAAAAGCCCTCTCATTTATTTTCAATAACGGCTGCTTGCATAGAGAGAAAACTAGGCAAGTATCAGAGATTTGATTTAAGTGCGGCCCTGCTAGTATAGGACTTCAATCATGGCGAACTCATCTCAACTCTCCGACTCAACCACCTCCGCTTCGGTTTCGGCTGAGACCAAAACATTACTTCTTATTATGGGGCCCTGTGGGGTAAGAGGTTGCGAGTGTACCTCCGGAGAAAGTGTATCCAATTCGGATCACTGGTGCGAAACGAAGTGTACCAGATGCTCACATCCTCTCAGCGAACATAACAGCTATGGTCAGTAGCTTTCGATGCTTGATATCTGCTCCAACTGATATGTTCCAGGTGCCCCCAGTTCTTCTGGCGCTGGTATTCTTTCGGCTCAGAAAACCAAGCCTCTCAGTAAGCGACTCCCTATTTCAGACCATGACGGCAGAATTCTGTTTGACCTTCTCCAGTGATCAAGCCTTATGTCAGCCCACGACATGATCTAATAAACGAATTGATCCGCCGTCTGGAACGCTACCACCTGATCCGAGTCAACGGGACCCCTGCCTCCGGGAAAACGACAACAATGAAGCTGTTGGCCAATGAGTTACTCAAACGGTATCCCGATACTCCGTTGTATGTTCTATCAGGTTGGCCGGAGAGACAGGTTTCGGCTGCAGGGGGCTGGATACGCTATTTCAAGAAGCAACTCAACGTCCGTGGCGATGAACTTGAAGCATATCCATGTTTCATTCTTTTTGACGAGGCGCAAGAGTCATATTGGGATACGGACTTATGGGCCCAACTCTTTAAGTCTATTGAGAAGACAGTCTCCGTGCATTTTGTTCTCTTCACATGCTACGGCGCAGGGATGACCCATGGCGGCGGGGGTCAGACGCTCCCTACTCCGACGCCTATCAATTTCCAACTCCATCAGCAGGTATCGCTGAGACCGGAAGAAGGGATTTATCACCACCCGGGGCGGAAGCAAGTTGGCTTGCTGCTCAGTGAGAGCGAAGCGTACAATGTTCTGGACCAATATGTGCCAAGCAACATATCGAATGGTGCCGACATTCTCACAGAAGGATTGAAGTGTGGATTATATCTGGCCAGTGGTGGCCACGCGGGGCTGCTTGTATCCCTCGTGGATGCCCTGGAGCAAGTACCGGTAAGCCATATTCGTGAGTGAAGAAGACCTGAAAGACTGACTAACTTGCTACTTTGCTGCCTTTTACAATAGGAGCTTTATGCCTTGATCCAGAAATGCCAACCGCTCGACTGGGTGACAGCAAGCCATAGTCTGTTCAGCGATGACCAACGACTGTTCCAAATTATTCAGTATCTCCCATTTGCTCGCGGCCTTCCTAGACAAGAATACCTGCAACATCACGCTTTCGCTAGTGTCTTCAAGAACGCCGTTGCTCACAACGGGACTCTCCAGTCGAGTTATCTCAAGAACCCAGATCAACAGAGGGCCCTTGAGGATATCTGGAAACAAGGATGGCTTCATGCGGAGACGGTCCAGAGAGATACACTTTATGTATTTCCCAGCCAGATCCATCGATGGTAAAGTTACTGGTCGATTTTCGATTTGATGTTCTATTTGCTGATACAATATCTCAGGTATTGCCAGTGTCTTTTCTCTCAGGTAAACTCAGAGAAAGAATTGATCTATTCGTCGCCTCTTGAGATGGCTATCGATGCTATTCGCAAGTTTGACCCATGTCAGCTATCAAGTCGTCTACGCACACTGGAGGGTGATCCCATCCCTATTGAAGACCAGTACCAGAAGGAATTCTACCGCTGCCTATTCCCACTGCTGCTCGAATACCAGATCAAAATGGCTCCAGAATACCTTATCAAATCAGGGGTTAGGAGCGGGAGAATCGATTTTCTGATAGAGCAGAAGCGGTGGGGGCTGGAATTACCACGAAATAGCAACCGTGTCAGACAGCATATGCAACGGTTCAAAAAAGATGGTCAGTATTTTACGATGCTGAACCGCAAGCTGATACAGGATTATGTTGTTCTGAATTTCACTCGCAAGATGCCGCAGAAAAGCTATCCAGGTAATATCCTTTGAAGCCCTCATCCTGATAGCCCGGTCTAAATCTCTTCTCTAGAATATCGCGGTCATCTATACCATGTTGTCTTTTCTGAGGATTTTAGAATTGTTCGTATCATCGATGCCTCGGATCTGAGTGAAGTCACTACCCTGGTTCTAGTGGAGAACCCACATTTTCTCCGCTAAACAGTAACTTGCCTTGGTCTTACGCTTCTTTGCCTCTGTTTCGTTAATACAATTTGATAAGATCTTTGATCCAATTTGACAGTCGTGCCTTGCCTGGCTATTACACTGAATCCAGTGTTATTTATAAATGTGTTTATTGTAACCCCGGGCCCTGAGCGGTAAGGACCAGATTGTAATGAGTAACGTCACAGTGCCGATTCCATGGTCTCGGATGCTCTACAAATTGAAGAGCGTGTACGACACCCTCAACTCCTCGCCCGGATGAACTCCACCAACGCCTTCCTCCCCGCCGGTCGCACCGGTGCCTCGGTATGCATCGCCCCGGGCACATCCGTCCTCACCATCTCAATCCCCAACCTCTTGGCCTCCGCCTCCAACTGCCCCGCCGCCTCCGGAGGAATCACCTCATCGTTCGCAGCAGTGAGCAGCAGAATGGGCGGTAACACTCTCCTCCCTTGCTGAGTCAAGGTTGCTGTCTCAGTATCCCGAGTCGTCTCAATCCTGTCAGACGCATCTCCATCTTCGCCATCCTCAGAAACAGCAGCCCCATCGCGCCACGCCACCATCCGCCGCAACGCGAGCTCACTGTCCCAGTGGTTCCACAGGAAGGGCCACAGATACCGATACGGCAGCCACCTCTGCGGATACAGGCTGATAAGCATCTCCTTGACGCTGGAGGAGGGCGCCTCCATGATCAAGCATGTGATGGGGGTGGATGAAGCTTGAGCTGCTGCGACCTCAGCGTCAGCAGGACTGGGCTTCTTAGTCATGGATGCCACCGCACCTCCATTGCTAAGATACGTCGCCAGCGCGGTGGTCGCAACCGCCGAGCCCAGACTGTGACCCCACAGGACGACCCGGACCTCTCGGTCCGGTGCCGTGTAGGTCTGTATCACCCACGCCAGGAACGCTTGAGCGTCGCGCTCGATCCCCCCCTGCGAGGCGCGGCCGGACGAGGTCCAGTAGCCGCGGTAGGAGAGGGCGGTGATGATGTACTCGACCTCTGGTTCTGGTTCTGGGAATCCAGAAGCAGGCGTGGCGTTGGACAGCGCCCGCAGGGTCTGCGAGAGGAGCGGCAAGCGCAGCGGGGTGGAGCCGCCGTTACCCTGGAAGTAGCAGATGACTACTGTCTTTTTCGGGGACGGTTGTCCGGGGAGAGGGAGACGGCCCTCGCAGACGGTGAGTTTCGTGCCGTCCAGGCTGCGGATCTGCTGCGTGGTCCATTGCACGGGACGGCATTCGGGTTCGTAGGCGGCGATGGTCTCGGAGCGGGAGAGCGGTGGGAGCCAGGAGAGGTAGAGGAGTTTATCTTGCAGGAGGACGATCCAGAAGCATTTCCAGGTCCAGAGGCCGAGGAGGAGGCCGAGGAAGATGGTGGGGGGGATAAGGATGGTAGGGAGGGTGGTGGTGAAGAGGGTGCGTTTGCAAGCTGGGTTGAATGGTTGAATGGGCTGTTTGATAGGCAGGTGATTGATTCTGGGAGTAGGTTTCGAGATGTGGATGGTTGCTCTAGATGCTCTAGATGGGTAACATGGTGGACATGATGTTGCGGCTCGGCGAGTCACCGTTATCGCGGGTGCTCCGAAGCCGCGTCGTGCGCACTGCACAACCCATTGACCTCGCATCAACGGCACGACGGTGACGGCGGCGATGGTCTAGGCGCGTCGATTTGCGTCGATTTCCGAAAGAAGGTATGATGGCAACGAGGCGTGAAGTTGGCGGTGGATCGTCAATGGTGAGGCAGCGCGGCTTTTCATTTGGTGGAGATGCGGTGGGGTCGGACTGGTTGCCGCTGACTAATCCGACATCGGCTGGGAGCGAGTCACGTGGTGTGTTGATTCTCCCTCCCACTCTCGCTTCATCTGCATCTGTTCAGCACAGCTGCCAGCGAAAGCGGTTGCATTCTTGCTTAATATCCTCGAAATCCAATCCAGCATGGTCTAGACTTGGTCCACTTGATTGTATACGTTCTGAGTCCACACACTCGGCAAATGCGACCGTACTAAAGAGTGGCCCACAGCATCTACGCCAGGGAGCCTAGCTAGCATGGAACTACGAATACTATCAACATGGCGAATCCGGAATGCTTTGCACCAAGCCACAGGGACACGCCTGACTTCTTCCACTTGGCAAAGTCTTTTAAAAGAGGTGGCCGAGGCAAGCCGCGTGGAGCCGGCAATCACCGACGGATCTCCCAGCCGAGGATCAGCAGCCAAGCCTACTGTTTTGACTGGAGACTGGAACAACAACATTAAACACAGATATGGTATATTGGAAAAGATAAGTAGCAGCCTGCCTTTGGGGCAGAAGAAAAGGTATCAACAATAGAATAACAAAACCACCGCGACACTCAAGCACTGGTGGTTCGGTTACAGACGTATATGCGTGATAAGTATTGACATCGGTAGCGAATATGTACCGAGAAGACACGATCGAACGCGTGTATATATACCTCACCCACAGACCTGATCGGGTAACCGTAACACTACCCAGAGTAATCAATCACAGCCGCAAGACGCAGCGGGCCAGCAGTGACAGAGCCTCCGATGCCACCGACCGAGCTCTCGGAGGGGGTGTAGGCGTTCTCGACGGTATCGCCGCCGGAGGTGATGTACGAGCAGCCGGTGGTGGTGCCGTGGCGGCAGAGCTTCATGCCCTGGATGGTCTGGTCGGCCTCCTCGGCGACGATGGCACTGACGTCCCAGCCGGACCAGCTGTCGTTCTCCTCGTCGCCGAAGTCGAACTCGCCCCAGGTGCACGAGTACTCGCCGTAGTCGTTGGTGGGGAGGCTGTCGCCCTCGGCAGCGCCCCAGCCGCCCTGCGAGTTCTCGTCGAAGGCGACGTAGCGCGTCTCGCCCGAGGACAGCGTGAAGTTCAGGGCCGAGTGGCCGAAGAACCCGTCGTCCGCCCCGTCGGGCCCGATCTTGTTCCAGATGCTCACGAACCAGTCCGCGCTGTTCTGCCCCGTGAACTGCACCACGTACTTGTACTGCCACGCCTCGCTGGCGCTGACCTCGATGATGTTGCTGCCCCACGGCACGCCTACGTTGCCCACGTAGGTGTCCCCGCTGCTGCTCGTCGTGTTGCTGCGTTCGCCGAACCCGCTGGTCGAGTAGACCCCGCTGGTCGGGTAGGTGTACCACGCTGAGCTGACGCCGGCGGCGCTGCTGCTGGCTGCGACGGCGGAGGAGGTGGTAGTGGTGCTGGTGGTGTGAGCATGGGTCTTGGTGTGGGTGCTGGTGCTGAAGGTGGTGGTGGTGGCTTCGGAGCCACCGATGGAGAGGCCAAGGCTCAGGCTGGCGCTGATGGCGAGATCCTCGTTGAGGTCGAGTTCGACGAAAGCGGCGGCTTCGGCCGTGGTGGTAGCGGCTTCCTCGTGGGTAGTGACGGTGGGTGCTACACCAGTGACAGTGCTGGTGAGCGTGATGGTGTGGTAGTTGACCACAGTCTCCACGACCACTTCACGGGCAGCCAGGTGTGCCTCCGGGGCACGTTCGGCATGGCCGTGGCCGTGGGGGTGACGGCGCTGGTGGCCGTGGGTGCGAGCCAGGGCCGATTCGGCGATGGCGCCGTAAAGAAGGAGTGACTTCCACTGCATGCTGGGCGTGGTTGGCTGATCAACGAATGGATCGGAAAGGTAGCTGTGTGTCGATCGGTTCGACTGAAGGAGAGTGTTGGACGTATGCTCTGCGCACGACTGCTATGACCTGGCTGACTTGAACCGAGAGGGCACGATCAAAGGAACGACTGGATGATGCTTGGAAGAAGAAAGAAGATCAGAGCCAACAGGGTGGTCCCCAGTCTCAGTATATAGATTAACCCGCCGCCACCCCAGTTCACACGGGCGTCAAAGCGGATAGCCAACCGACGGTGGACGACGCAAGACAGCGCCGAGTGGAGACAGGACAAGACTCGAGAATCGTCAGCATTGGGCCCCGATCAGTCACATCGCCTCGAGAAGGCCCGTTGTCGAATGGCGCGATCCAGACCAGCTGGCGACTAAAGGAGTTTGTCGAATCAATAGTTCCCCGTTTAGAGCAGTGAAACGGAGGGCCACCAACTTCTTCTCTCCCCACCCCCCCCCAGTTGCTCGGGGCCGGAACAGAACAGATTATAATCCATCGCTGCTGTTGGCTGACATTCCTGCAGAGGAGTGTTCTGGTTGTCAGTGTGGGACTCCACAAACAGGCTCTTTCCTACTGTTCGGTTTTCAGGAACACAGGCCTGGTCATTGGCATGCCATGCATTCCCTACGTAAGCCCGCGACGGCCCCCCCTTGCGTCGTCACTCGTCACCTCAGCCCTCCCACTGGTCCGACCAGAGACGCGGACATTTTTCCAAGCCATGTGTCTAAAGTTGTGCCTGGCCCCTCGCTGAGGATCTAAGGAGCGAAGGCAGGTTGCTCGGGCGAATGGTGACATTCCTAAGGCAAACTCTGGGTTCGAGACGGAGGGCTAGCGCAGTCCATCGGAGTGGGTCATTTCCGAACGACGGATCGCAGAGGTTTGTGTACTGTACTCCGCAGTGCAGCTGGTTGTTTGAACTCGTACTATGAATTGTTATTGCAGGTTGATTTGCTGGTTGACTTTGACCGATGTTCAAAGTTCCCACCAGGCAAACACATAAAATTTTCTGAACAGTGAGGGCTAAGCCTTGTTAGCGCGGGCTAGCCGTGCAACTCCTTTCCTTTCCGTCGCGATCGATCAGCACCACGTGTGCTGGTTTCAGTAGGAGAGATGATGTGCCTGATCGACTGCTGATGATTTCACCTGTTTGTAGGTGCTAAATTGCAGCAGCTATACACCTGTCATAGAAGATATCTTGACTTGTCACTTCCCCCTCCCCCCGTTTGCTACAAACAAAGATCTTGACCTGTGTTTTTGTTCCTGTCCGCCACTTTAGGGCACAACAACTAACAGGTGGGGCGGGAGTTACGTATACCCGCCAGAACTAGTGCTGGGCCAAGGTTGGCGATGACGAATCCACGGTTCCGGTGATTACCTTATTCTTTTGCCGCGGTGTCTGTTTGTGTCTTGTTCTGTGGACGTATGTATTGAGTACTCCAGACGGATTGGAGCAAGGGTTTGGGGCAGATGGCTGCATTCTTAGCTAAGAGAATAGTGCATGTACTGTAGAGTACTGACAATCTTGTATGCACAAGTAAACAAAACCAACATCAGATCAAAATTAGGGACAAGAGAAATAAGGTCAAATTAAATCAAAAGGAAGAGCAAGAGGGGAATAAAAAGTTAAAGTCAAAGCAAAGAAGCAATATCCTCCAAGCAATCCAACCTTCCCTGAACAGCAATAGCCGAACCAACATCCCTAAGCACCCCTAAACACCCCTCATAAACCATAAGCCCCTTTAGTCTCCCTCGTCCCCCCTCCCCCAAAAGACAAGAGGCATGATCACTCATCATCATCATCATCCCCCTCCTCCTGCCACAGCCCTTCCCCAGATGCCGGATTCATAATCCCCTGGCCGGCCCAGTACTGATCCTGGGTGACCACCGCACGAAACGTGTCCTGATTCTCGGTCTTCCACAGCTCGCGCAGCCCGTCCAGCTGCGTCTGCAGCACATCGCGAAACCCCGGCTCGACCGCATCGCGCCGGCGGAGCATCTCGCGGTGCACAAACCCGAACCGCTCCATGGTGGCAAAGGTCACGTCGCTCAGGGCCGCGTCGACGCGCTGGATGTCCGTCGGCCGCGGGCCATCCCCGACTCTCGCGGACAGAAGCTGGGCGAGGGGCTCCCGGAAGGCGGCGAAGGCCTCGCTGACCAGGAACAAATCCTTCAGGGTCATGGTGTGATAGCGGAGAACGGCGGCGGGCCGGCCGAGGAGGCTCAGGCTCCAGGCCCGGTAGAGGGCGCGCACGAGACGGCGGGTTTGCGGGGACCGGCTGGCAAGGCCGTAGCCTTCGGGCTGGAAGGCTCGGGTGGCGACGTGCTGGGTCAGGGCCGCGCTGATCTGGGCGGGGTCTTGGGCCAGGAAGCTTGTGATGAGCGGGTGGGTGGTGTTCACGCCTAGGACTTGGCTGAGGAGGTAGTTTACGAGGGCCGTGAGGTCTGGAATCATGGGGTTCATCAGTGTGGGGACTAGAGGGGTGGTGAGTGGGTTGTGGTTAGCATCTGGTCAGTGGAAGGGTTGGGTCTCGGCTCATGCCTCGACGAGGGAAGGACGAAGAAGAGATCTTACTACTGCCTAAAAGGACCCAGATGCGATCGAAGTTTGGATTCGGCTTATATCCAAGGGTCCTGATGGCGAGTGTCTGTGCGTTGTACAGCAATCTCATTAGGATCCCTGGGTTGAGCTTGTTCAAGTCTGTGAGTCGGGGGTCGCCCTCTTGATCAGCTAAGAGCTGCAGCGGGAGATGCACCGAGCCGAGGATCTTGGGAGCCATTTTCCGGAAAATGTAGGCAATGTTCTGGTGAACTATGGCGTGCAGACGGCGGGATGTCAGGCTGAACTGGATGACGTCCTCGAAGGTCCACAAAGCGAGTATCATCATGAGGATGATCTCAGCCGGGAACACAGCGAAAGGGTCTTGGAGCAGGGCAATTCTGCCGCCCCTTTTGGGACCGTCTTTATCAGGCATCGTGGTTGCTTGATGCTGATGAAAGCCGATGTATTGCCAAAAGCAGAAGCTGAATTCGGAGAAATCGGACGATGGCAAGGTCTTTGATGGGATACAGGTGATGATGAAAGTGATGATGAGAAGAGAGGAGGGAGTTATAAAGGAAAAGGTGAGGTGATATTTATGTCTGAGATCTACGCAAAAACAGGACGAATTTGGCCGTGCAGAGCGACGGCGACATCATCACCTACATTCATATAGGAGACCGCATAAGCATTCACTGTGCTCAGTGTGCTCTTTTGGCGGACTGTGGGCTGCTTTGGTGGCTGGTTTCTCGGCGCTGAGAGAACCGTACGGTCTGCATAACACACAGGCTGGCTGGTATTACTTCCCATCGCTCACAATGCTTCACAGCAAGAGCCAGAAGACTGCAAGCATAGGAAGTCATCATGCGAACAAAGACCACGGAAATTGCTTGGACTTTCTCTTTGTAGAGAAAAGCAGCCGTTTCTCATTCATCCACTACATTGCGGTGGCGATCGATAACATACAGATCGGACTCGTCAGCTTCAACCTTTCCGTGTTGGCCTCGACAAGCTCCAGGCTAACTATCCTCCCACAGCCATAGATCCGACTGGAGGCCCTCCCGCTCTGCATCCAGCACCAGATTATTCGCATTCAACTGATCCGTCACAGACAGCATGTAGTCCAACGACAATCCAAGACCTCGCCAGTCGAGCGACAGTTCATCCTCCGGATCAGGAGGCACATCGGTAGGCGGGATGGTTGGGATGCTGTCCACTTCCTCAGCGCTGGGGCCCGACAGATGCTCCAATTGTCCTAGCGGTCGCTGTTGGCTTTCTGGCGTAGCCAGCTGCCCGTGTGCTGTGTCTGTGCTGACCGGGGGTGTTTGGTGCCGTTGAACCAAAGGTTGAACAAGTTCCTCCAGCAGCTCGATCTCGGATTTACGGAGGTGTGCAACGCGGTTGCCACGCTCAATCATCTCGTTCAGCAGGCTGAAGCCGGCTTCACGGTAGGTCGGATCCATGGCAGCGTCGGGTAAAATGGCGGAGATGAGCGAGAGGACAAAGAAGGATGAGAATACATTCTCGAGATCGAATGGGAGGAACGTCTCTTTGATGGAGACAGTGTGGTTAGCGATAGAGGGCTGGAGAATAGGGTGATAAGGTAATGCGAACCCAGCAGATTTTGATCTCGAAGAGCAGCGAGTATTTTGAGGGATTTGACGGCGGAATCAATGCATGCTTGGAGGAGGGTTTGCACGGGTGAGGATAAAGTGCGAAACTCGGCGCCTTCTTCGTAGCAACTAAGGCGTTCCCATAGAAGGCTCAAGACAAGCGGTCTTGTGGTGACGATGATGCACTGGTTATCGTGAGTATAATGTGCCATATTGACGGCTCAGGACGGCTTACCAAATGGCATGACAGAGTCAGTCGCGTGGTGACGCCTGACAAGGCGTCCACTGAGTTTGCGAAACGGTTGGAGAAGACTTCGTCGAGCTCGCGAGACAAGTCGGACATCTCTTGTAGAACGGAGCGAACCTTGCGTAGGAATAGACCTCCCAGCGTGCCATCGGCACTGTACACGGCTGTCGACTTTGTCAGCAAAAAGTTGCCAGCGATCGAAGAGTATGGTATTTACTGTTCAGAACACGAGCAGTCACTTGCGATATTCTGACGTGCAGACTCAGGACGGCCTCGTTCTGCGAACAAGTTCGTGGGTCCCACAAAATGGCGTTGACATCCTCGTCGTTCACCGAGTAGGGCGAACCCATCAAAGAGGAGAATTTGCGGTCCAAGATATATACCGTCCACCAGATGTTGCTCCACCGGGTGACGAGCTTCTGTCCCAGCTGTTCCACGGGCTGAGCGCGGTGAAGCCCCTCTACCAGAGCCATTCGCATAGAATGGCCAATCTAATCCAGTTAGCGAGAACCCAACAGTGCTCGCAAGTGATGTCTCACATAACAATAGGCGGTATCTCTCATATCCACCGAGTAAAAGTAAAGCGCAATGAGGGCTAACGTCTCGATAGCAAGAGTTGGATCCTGCCACAGCCCCGTGATATCCGGCAATAGCGACATGGCTCGCGAGAAATATTTCGTCCACGAGGCAGTGTTGGACACCGTCCGCACTGGAGCCAAGAATGCTTCCCCAAATGCCAGTATGACTAGAAACTGCACGTACCACAAACGTGACTCTTGTACCTTCTCCGCCGCATTCTTGTAAAATTCGTGGAGATGGCGGAGAAACGCGTCCTCATCGAAGAGCCGGTACATATTGCCAAAGTGGAACTGCACCGTGCTCACCATGTACAGGGCGTGCTCCATCGACGGCAGTCCGCTAGTATCGGGCACCTCCTCGGAGCTAGCATGCCGCCATAGTATTTGATACGCCTCGCCATCGGCCGCAAGAGGAATCGACCGCTGGCTGTCGGGATATATACGTGCTTGAACAATGTTGAGGACGCGTCGACTGAACGACCACGTCGAGGTGGGGCCGAGGAACACTGCGCGAGATCAGTTGTGTTAATCCCGTCTGCTGAAAGTACCACGTACGCCACTTCCTGTGTTGTCGACCAGTGTGTTTGACATATGTTGAAGGGGAGACTAAGGGGTTGGAGGCAAATCGGTCGTCGTAGCGGTCAGAATCGAGAGGAGCTGGGGTTTCTGCGGCTTCTGCATTTCCATCTTCACAGACTAAGACGGTTAGACAAGGCTCCATGTCTGTACTCAGGTGGATCACATACCATCGAGAGACCCATTGATGGTGTCTTCCCTCAATGAACGATGTCGTTTGCTGGTGGGTGAAGATGGCACGCCTTCTAGCTCTTCAACTTTGCGTTTCAAGGACAAGAAAAGCCTGGGAGAAAGGGATTGCGGTCAGCGCAAGCAAGGAGTGGTGGATGAGTGGGCAAGTGAGGAATACTCTTCAGAGACGACAATCTTCCGATCCTCTTCAAAGACGCAATTCTGGCGACGCTGGCGACACTTATCGCACGGATGCGTTCCGGAACACTTGACCTTTCTCGAGCGACATCGTTGACAGCTGTAGTGTTTGTCAGCGCTAGGGTTGCTCGTTTGCTTTGCTCCTATATTGAGGTCACGGGAACACACGCATTGCTGGTCCGTTTGGGACGCTGAGATTGGTTCATGGTATAGCTGTCGGGAGGGGAGAGATCTATCATATTCTTAGTAACCAACAAGCAGTCTCACCACCACTTTTGGACAGCGACAAGATGATGGGAAAACATAAAGCACAATCGCCAGCTGTCGTCAGAGGACAAAAAGTGGCAGGGGCAACTTATCGCGGAGAAACCCCGATTTTAGTCACTTTACCCCGCATGTTATCAGCTTATCATAGCACAAGGATCTGGCCTCCAAGATAAGACGATCGTTCTTGGCATGAAGCAAGGAGAATTGATTAGAATCTGTAAGGCTACTAACGATTCTCTACCAGGCTAGCTCCGGTCGGCTCATGCAGCTCGCTTCCAGTTGCGAACAAAACCGTTCCTCTTCCGCTAAGCGATCCGTCTTCATGTCTCCCGTCACTGCCGGCAGCGCTGGCCAGATCTCTCGCCCACCTTGGGCCTCTTCCTTCAGGCGGTGCTCCATTACCATGTCTCTCAGGCTTTGTTGAAAGTGAATGGGACCCTGTGTTGTTGTTGTTAGCCTCGAATTGACCAGCAGGTGCTGTCGACATACCTTTTCCTTGCTCGGGTGGAGCTCGCCGTTGATAAACACTCCGGTGCTCAGATTCGTCTGTACACCAACACAGAGCTCTTTGTCCTCCTCCAGAACCTGCCTATAAAATGCGTTGATATTATCAAACTCCTCGTCCGTGGCGTCGCGGTGACGGTAGACTTCATTTTCGATCTTGCTCGTGGTCGCGCTCAAGGGAATCATCCGCTGAATATAGAAGAATTTGTCGCTGTGGCAGAAAGGTTAATGACTCGATCCTGCGACAAGGATATTTTGCCGACTGATCAAACTTACGTCACTGTCACCGAGGTGGTGGGAAAAAAATATGTAATGGCGCGCCGAAACTGGGCGTCGACATTGTCCTTGTTGAAGATATGATGCTCCATGTAGGCGGCGGTGGGCTCCACCCGATATCGCGGCAGATCCGAAACCCCGCTGATAAGCGGATGCGATGTCGCACAGTGATAGCACTCGTTGTAATTCTCAATCAGCAGCTTCCAGTTCGCCTCTATCTCCATCTCCCAGTAGTGGTCGAAGGTGTACTCCCCGGCGAAATCAAAATCTTGCATGCGCGGTTGCTCGTCGATTCGCTGAAAATCATCTTGCCACTGGACGTCGGGACTCTCGCCGGCCTGCAGGTTCACCCACACGAAGCCGGCCTGGTCGACGTGCACATGGATGGGAAGTAGCCCGTTTTGGCTTTTGTCAAAGTCGGGGACCGTCTCGAAGCGGGGTGCTTTGGAGAGGTTCCCTTTCAGCCCGTAGGACCATCCGTGGTACTTGCAGCTGAGGATGGAGGTGGAGCCGGCCCGAGCCTGCACTATGGGGTATGCGCGGTGGCGGCAGATGTTGTGGAAGCCGTTGATGTTTCCGTCGCGGTCTTTGGTCAGGAAGAAAGAGAATTCAGCAACGGTGAAGGATAGGAAGTCCCCGGGCTTAGCGAGACGGCTGGTGTGAGTAAGTAGGATCCAGCGTTTGGAGAAGATGGCGCGTCGTTCGAGCTCATACATCGCGTCGGAGCGGTACCAGGAGGCCGGAAGCCCCCGAGGCGGAGACTCCTCTGCGGTTCCTTTGAAGGTGCGCCCAAATAATCGCCACATTTTCTGTGTTTTAGGTGCAATTGTGCGTGACTTTCGTGCGTTGCGGTGCTCCTCCTATTCTTATATAGCTCTAGTTCGCAATGGTGGGGGTGTGAGGTCGAGTCAAGAATGGGGGTGCGATACTTCCAGCAGGCATAGCATTGATAAGGAAGTAGCCCTAGCCCACTTTGACCATCATCCTCCATGAATATGAAGATCTATTAGCTATGTATGCTGTGTAATACTATGAGCATTCGGTATATTAAAATATGCCTACTCGAATTCATTATTTGATGGCTATACTGGAAGCTTAATCAGGATCCGAGCGTCTGCTAAACAGCTTTGATAGTACTCACGTAAACGATAGCTACAAAGTCATTGGTACAATTCCAGGTCCTATAGATTTGGATATGGTTCAACCTAAGATCGTCTCAATGCATGTATGAAGAGGAAACAGGAAGGTGGATAAATTGGAACGGAACCTAACTTTGAATTGACAAAAGTAAGATGGTAGATAAGAATTTATCGAAGAAAGGGTAGAATAAATAGTAATCTCAACGGTCATAAGCTAAACGGCATGTTATCTTGTTTGTATAGAAGCGTTGGCTTCATTGAACAGCTGTGACAATGGGAACACAAAGAGTCCAAAAAATGACAAACCAGCAGTCTTCTGGAAAATATTCCCGTGACACAGCGGGCATCCATGCATCATCGACCCAAGAGTTGTAGATGCCTAACTACAAACACCTCTTCCCCATCCCTCCCAGTAGTCCGCTGGATGCCCCCATTCAACGCTCAACTTCCACTGACAAGATCTCCACCACAATCCCAACAATCGATCTCTCCCCTTACCTCACCAAATCCGACAGCAATGACCCCAAAAAAGCCACCGTCATCGCCGTGATCCGCGAAGCCTGCCAAACAACTGGCTTCTTCCGCATCACCCACCACGGCATCTCCCCCCTCCTCCAGTCCGACCTCCTGATCGCCGCAAAGCACTTCTTCGCGCTTCCGCTCGCAACCAAGCGCCGGTACATCGATACGATTGCCCGGAAGGGGTACGAGGAGATTGGCTCTCAGATGCTGCAGCAGGGAACGAGGCCGGATATCAAAGAAGTCTAATCCCTTCGCTCCTCCCTGACATCGAGCTTTCAGCGGGAACCCCGGCTAAACATGGTTGAATGTAACTAGTGCTACTTTGTCGGCGCGGAACCTGCCATGCCAAAGGAACCGCCCTACCGACCGTTCGAGTATCCTAATATCTGGCCTGACGCGTCCGTCCTCCCGGAAGTGGTCTTCAAGGAGCCGATCTTGAAGTACCATGGGGCTATCTGTGAGCTTGCTCGGACTATCATGGAGATTCTGGTAAAGGGGTTGGAGGATGATTTTCCAGGGCTGCTATCGGAGAAATTGCTGCAAGATTTCTGTCGAGAGCCCTGCGCGAGCTTGAGGCTATTGAGGTATCCGGGGCCATCGGCTGGTGGGGATGGTTCGATGGAGAAGGGCAAGGGTCAAAATATATGGGTGCACAGGGGCGAGGTTGTGGCAGGGGCACATACGGACTTTGGGGGTATCACACTTTTGCTGCAGGATGGGAATGAGGGACTCTAAGTTTTATATCGCCAAGGGAGAGGGGCAGGAAGCGGAAGTTTGGGTCGATGTTCCATCCACGCCGGACGCTTATGTTGTGAACATTGGAGATATGTTTGAAAGATGGACTGGGGGCCGGTATCGGAGTACGGTCCATCGGGTGGTGGATGTCTGTGGGAGAGAGAGGTACTCGGTGCCGTTTTTCTATGATGGAAACTTGGATTTCATGTTTCGGCCCCTAGACAAGGATGCCTCTTTGAAGGCGGACTGCCGTGAGGTGACGATCAGAGCGTATTTGATGAAGAAGTTTGAGAAGATCTATCTTTGATGCAAGCAGATACTCAATAGCGGTCATCGAAGACTGAGTCCCGGGGAAAAGCATATAACGGACAACGCACGTGCGATGATGCTCGCTTCGAAACAGCTTATTTGATCAAAGTCGGCGATAAGAGGCTTTGTTTTACCATAGCAGGTATCTGGGTGTTTATGCCTAGTATCGCTACTTGCTCTCCCAGAATCTATCCATCTCTAAATGAAAATCACTGCCGTCAATTTCTTCGCCTTCCGCCCCAGCTTGTCTGGAACAACTTCCGGGCACCGAACAAGAATAGCTAAACCTGCACGACTTAATATTGTTCTCTAAACCGCATAGCTCTCAGAGATCAACTGGTCGATCCTCTCCTCTAGGCGCAGACCGTGTGCTTGTGAACTGAGTAGAGTAAAGAACATCCAACGCAACCGGCGTCAGTAAGTCTTGTCCACTCAAGCCCCTGACCTGATAAGTTCGTGCGCACTCGCTCAAGGAGAGAGTGAGACCCCCCCCCAATACTGTAGGAGTTGGTGGTTGATTTCGAGGAGTGTCCCCAATTGCTCGATGAGAAATGGATCGGGTTGCTGTTTCGGTGCTGCAACGAGCGTCTTGCCGGTCAGCTGCGTTGTTAGGCGCCCCATTGATGGGGCTCGACCCATTGCTGGAAGCCCTTGACAACACTTGCGGTCGATCGCATTTGGCAAGTATCAACAACAAGGATCAGAAGTTCTGGAAACTCCGGAATCCGGTCTATTGTGGGTTGGGCGAAGTTGGACAGAGCATCTCGCTGGAAGTACATGGTGTTTCGGTGATTGGCTGCGGTGGTTAGCGGTGGCGGGGGAGGCCGGGACTAAGCGGGCTGCATCGTGCTTCGTGCGCTTCAGCCCTCCCACCTTTCTATTATTAAACCCTGCATCCCGGCTATTCTTAGTACATCACTACGGAGTACACTCTGGGTACCAGCAATCCGTATTTTTTTTTTCCAATTTCACGTATTCTGGCGCTTCTTGCTAAGAATTCATGTCACGGAAATCCGGCTTGTCACGGGCTTGCCAAGGCTAAATTTGCATGGTAGAAGCCTCAAAAGCGACTAGAGTCTTTAGAAGATCGTGAATCTAGGGGTTCTTAATTGGACTTTCTGATTAGCTAAAGATCACGTGAATCTTATCCACAAAATACTGTATTTTGGCACAAATAGAAGGTCAAAATTTGTTTATACATGAAATTTGGAAAAGAAAAAGTGTAAATACCGACCACGGATGGATACGTACCAGTAAGTTTCACCATGATTGACAGGTCACTGGATGTGTATGCATTCTAATGAATACTCCGGAGTAGTGACAGACTGCGATGTCTCAACTGCACAGCGTCAGCATATCTCAGCATGATCTCCCACCTACTGCTTTGAATGGCACTGGACGAATGACCTCCGTGTCATGACCTTCCCTCCCGGTCGCATCCGAGACGTTTGGGCAGCAACCAGCTTTTCTATTTCCAAAATAGAAGCCGGACAAGACTTCATGGACGTGCGATCAAGCGATGGTGACGCTCTATCTTGATCCCGTCCAATTCGATCGCATTGATCGCACTATGATGACCCGGCTCATCCGCGACATTGCCCGCAACATTGATGGATGTGGCGGCGCATGCGAGACATGCATGCATGTAGTAAGCCGTCTTTTGCCCGGTTTTTTTCAGCCTCAACCCCCAGCCTCCAGCCCTTACGGCCGATTGCCAACTGGTCCCGCTGTTACACGCTCCAACGGGAAACAAAAAGCAAAATATAGAAGTTGAAAGATGGACAGACGCTCATCTTCAACCTGTATTCGAGAAATTATATACGCCAATGGCATGAACAGCAAGTGTTGAGACAGGCAAAAAAGACGGTGAGCGTATTCAGCGTCATTAAGGTTGGAAGAGGGCGACATCATTGAGTGGGCCCTCTCGCCTGCTGACGGGCCGGCATCGGTATTGATCGTCCAAGTGCAGGGCGCACAGGACGCCGAGCGTTGCTTCTTTCTCCTCTGATGTGCGGGAAAATCTCCCCGACATGGCAACTGTCACAGATGATCACCAGGCCAGATCCTGCTGGGTTGTGTTTGAATATGGGGGAGACCGCCGACTGCGCCTTCGCACTATTGCCTATATAAACAGAGCATGACCAAGCTCCCTTCCATCGTTTCATGAAAACACAATAGAACCAAATCCTTCTCACGCTACAGTTGTACCTATCTATCTCTCATTCTAGAAAGCACGCCCTTCCGCCTCCAATTTACCACCATCACCGCCATCATGCAGTTCTCCCTGTTTCTGTCCACTGCCCTCACGGTCGCCGTTTCCGCCGCCCCGGCCTTAGCCCTCCCCGCCGCCAGCTTCAACAACACCCGGGTAATCCAACTCCGCCTGTGGGGGGAGCCCGACTGCGCGACCCTGAATCTGGGCGAACTGGGCATCTACGGCTCGCAACTCAACCAATGCTCGTCCTTGACCTTCGGCGATGACATCACCCAGTCCGTCAGCTTCGAAGGAAACGCTGATGGCTGCGGCAGTAAGCCCACCCCCTAAAATCTTCAGATGAGAATTTATAGAATCCTCGAACTGATTATCCATCTTCTGCAGTCCAAATCTTCGACAGTGATGATTGTACCACCGGTCAGCACGATCCCACCGTGGGACAATGCCTCAGCGGCACTGCCGCGGGCTTGTTGAGCTACAAGATGGTGTGCTAGGCTTCTTCCCTTCCAGAGGGGAGTTTTGGCTTTGCGGCGGGGATGCAACCTGTCACACTCTCGTGTCCCACCCTGATTATGGATATATGATGGACTATACGACGGCTTTAATGATGAATAATGTATAAAGAAACAGCGGGGGGGGGGCAGGAATCGGGTACGGAACTTGGGATATCACTAATGCTCTTTTCTTGTTGGCAACGTACAGATGATCATGATGATGGAATATTTTATGGAGATTGATTTGTTATGTGGGCAGAATGTGTACTTAATTATGAGCTTCTTATGAATATTATGGATTTCTCGTCACAAATCAACATCTTCCATGCCCCCTGCTTTCCATTCTCCTTGCAGTGACCGGCTCTACGGCGAAGTGCATCTTTATCGATCGGCAAGGGGGGAAGAGTTCGCTTGTTTCTGAACCAGAATTAACTCGACAGTACCATTGTAACGGTTTTAATCACTATATGGCTATGGAGCAACAATGTGACGCTTACTCCTTGTGGTTTGCCAACCGATTTGTTGTTTTCTAGGGCTAGTTAATCCTAATCTCTGGTCGGCGGAACTTTTTGTCGACAAAACGTGATGATACAAAATGTCCTAGTCCCTCGACTTTCGTCTTCTGTATCCCGTGCATAACCGATAGATGTAATCAAACGAGTCTCCATCGGCGTAGCTGTTTGAATCCAGTCACTTGATGTGTTGCTTTTCTTACAGAGATGACCGGCCCACGAGTTCTCGTTTTGCGATCAGGCCAGAACCATTCCCGGGAGCATGAGCAGTAGCTGCTGGTGATTAGAAACATAACTGTTCCGTTGTCCAGTGTCCAAAGTTGGTATCTATGTCTTCTGCCTCCACTACAATGGGTTCGGCCCGAATACGGGGGCCGTTGATGTAGTGAGAGTCTCTTGTGCCCGCCTGATCACGACACGGACCATCATGGTTGCAAGAGCACCCATGAGACTGGCGGGATCTGTCTCACACTGGCAAGGAGGCAACATGGCGCGGAGACCAGAGACTTAGGTCCTCAGTATATACTGGAAATTGAAAGTAAAGCTTTTATTCATCAAACTACATAAACTGTAAATATCCACAAGCTATAGTTCCTATAGACTATAATCCCCACGTCATAAAGGCTATGATAGGCAGTGCCTTTCAAAGATTACTACTCAACTAGATTGAAAGCATTATAAAGTACCAGTAAGTTGAAGAAAGTAACTAGAAATGCAGTCCTATTATATCATGAAGAGAGTAAAAGAAGGGAAATATAGCTTGTATTCTAGGATAAACTATCTTCCTGAAAACAGATCCCACTCAAATTATCTCTTTGATACGAATGTTAATGGGGCTGTGCTCAATTTGGGATCTCATAATATAACCAGCTTAGTTACTCAGAGCACTAGGTGCAAAGAGGGCACGTCTTTGTTTCCTAAAAATAATATTCGAATACATCTTTCTGTGTATTTTGAGAGGCTTCTCTATCAAGTGAGCCTCACGTTGTGGTTTCCGGAACAAGCTAATGAGAGGAAAGGTATCATCGGTAGTCTCACGCTGGCCTGTTGGAGCGCCAGTCATCCAGCAAGCTTCTATTCATGCAGAATAAGAAGTGGCAGGACCCAGCAAAAGTCGAAGATTGCGATTCTTCCTGGTCCCTCTGAGGAAAAATCGCTAAGAGCAGTCTTGTACCATGAGCCGAGGGCATTGAGAACCTAGCCCAAGACACCCTTTCCTTGGACCTAGAAGCAACATGCCTCACTGCCCACATCTACTTGTGTCTGGGGATTGATTTGACTGGCAAAGATGGCTTTTGCCATAAGAGAAAGCATTCCTGGTGCAGCCAGTCGGAACCTGGCTGATCGAGCTCCATGTCAAAATTGAAGACCATGCGGGCAAGTATGAGACGCATCTCGACATAGGCCAGGCTGGATCAAAGAAAGAGGAACCCGTTAGATCCGTCTTGAAGGGAAGGGAAAACATATTTGAGCTTACTTGCGTCCAATGCAATTTCTGGGACCAAAGCTAAAGGGCTGCATTGCCGTTTTGCTATCATTCGCAAAGCGAGGGTCCCCGAGATGACGTTCCGGAATGAATCGCTCGGGGTCGGTGAAATTGTCGGAAGAATGATTGGCAGCCAGCTGGGAGATAGAGACAATAGTCTGACAATGTCGTTATTGATTGGGCTCGAGTAGGGGATTCAGAGCTGTACTTACACCCCCTGGTACCCAGTTTCCAGCTATCATATCACCCTGAGCGTCAACGATACGAGGAAGCCCCGGTCCGACTGGGGGATACACCCGCAGTGCCTCGGTAAGGACAGCAAGGCAGTACTCGAGTTTATTGCAGGATTCCAGGTCGATCTCACTTTCGTCGGAAAATGTCGATCGGATCTCGTCTTGGAGCTTGGATAGCACACGGGGACTTTTCAATAGCAGGTAGGTCACCCCCGAAAGTAAAGTCGCGGTCGTTTCCGAGCCAGCAATGATGATCGTACTCCCGTTGCTCACTAGCTCCTGGGTGGTGAACCCTTTTTCGGTATTCTCATGCTTCAAGATGTTGCTGAAGAGAATCCGGTCGGTCATTGGTCTAGCTTAGCCGGGCCTGGACTTTCTCCGTCGTCAAAGCGGCATGTATATCTTTTTCCGCAATGATGTGCTTGGGTGTGATCAGTTTCAGAAGCGCTAGGGATCCCGGAAGGCGACGAGCCACATTTGCATATGCAGCAGTTTTGACCTGGCTCATGATGATCGACACCCATTGGTGATAGTTGGAGTTCTTGAGGCAATCGATCGAAGGGTTCTCCGAATGCTAGATCCCTAATAATGTCGAAGGTGGTGAAGTTATACCACTTGACTAGGTCAACGACCTCGCCTTCTTCACACTTCTCCTGCAGCCGCTGCATGAGCAGATCGACATTTCCATAGATGATTGGCTCTTGGCCCCGCAAGGAGCTATCGGAGAATCCATGTGCCATCAAGCGGCGGAAGCGGGAGTGGTCAGCATCGTTCGAGACAATGATACTCGGGGCGCCTCCAGCCGTGGGTGAGTAGAATCGGAAATCCTTTCCCTTTTGGCCATGCCGCGGCCGAGTCCCATAGATGGCCTTCCAGGCCTCACGATCGGTGAAGGAGAGCTCATTCGGAGCAATCCGCACAACCTTGCCATATCGCTCATGCAGCTGCTTGATCGTTTGCGGAAACCGGCCCCCGATGGTGAGCCGCATGTAGGGTATACGCGTGGCTGCCATTGCCGTTGGCCCGGGATATCGGGCCAATGGATGGAGGTAGACATTGTACAGGACAAGAGCAACTGTGTAGAACAGAATCTTTCCGCGGCACAACCGTGGTTTAGCCCAACCTTGATATCATGGACCAGGAAAGAATGTGCACTCACCGTTCCCAGGCTTCCTGCTAGCAAAACCCAAGCGGTGCTCGAGGGGCTATAGAGCCCTGAGAGGCCCTGAATGTTGAACATTTGGGTCGAGTGATTTGAAAAAGCAAAGTTCAACCTCATCTGTATCTGCTATTCTATTCCAAGATCTTTATATGTCCTCTGCACTACCCAGAAGAAATCGGTCTGGCCGACTTGGTGAGTTACCCCATCTCCTGTCACTGACCAATTTCAAACACTGCATAGAGCCTACGACGAGGCCAAGTATCAGGATCTGCGAGGGGTAATGCTCTGTGTTGATTGACAGTGGTTGAGAAAGTAATGGCCGGCCACAGATCCTCGAGACTCTCAAGACTGCCAGTGCAGATCGCTGACTCGCCTTACATAATTTTGTTATGCAGAATGTTGATGTATATCGGATGGGTGCGGCGGCTGGTTATGCAGCTGATTAGGTGCACAGAGGATGTCTCCTCCTGCACATACACCCGGGCTCTCTGTTCCCATTGGTGGACGGTGCTAGATGCCCTGGTAGGGCTAATGCTTGTTTGTCCGATTGATCGAGACGAAATCGAAAGACCATAAATATTATCTGGTCGGGTAATCGACAGCTATGCTACCCACCTCGGGAGCTTTATCTAACGGTTATCATCGGGGCGCGATGACGGACTGTCTTCAGGTGGTGATCCCACCAATCCCAGATCGCTGCGTGTCTATTGTTTGCATGACAGGACTCAATGGTTCGCCCTGGACTGAATTTATACAAATACTGGACAGCCACCATGAGATTGAGACTCGATGTAACGAAACGCCTATAGTCAATAGGGAGAACTCAGTCGATCGAGACTGTAGTAACTGTTTATTCTGTATAATGGCTGTGTACTCAGGAATCGTATTCTCTCATTGTGTGACCGCGCAAAATCACAGATAAACGGTCTTATACACATTGCCACTCCCTTCATCAGATATCTTCTATATACCAATAACTTCAGAGTGACAACTTGGTCCGCGTCACATTGCTGTATGCGCTAACATGGATGGATCAAGCCCGAAAGAGTCGTCGCTCTCTCAGTCTTATTTGTCAGTCACAGGCCTTCAAAGGCAAGTCACAACGCGAACTCAACATGTAGCTCCAACAATTGCATTTGTGGCCAGCGCACAAACACATAGTGGTTGAGGCATTCGGCATTTATCTATTCCTTTCAAAGGTACCTGCCAGGCCACAAAATGCTTCTGGTTCGCTTCCTCTTTAATTCTCAACATCTACCAAGCATCTTAGTCAGGGGAAGAGCGCCGGGCTCATAACCCGGAGGACCCTGGATCGAAACCAGGACATGCTAACTTCTTCTTTGAATCTAAGTCCCTTTTATTTTCTTTTTTCAACCACACAACCCTCAAAAAGATCGTTAGTTTCAAAACGCTGTTCAAACCAATAGCAGCAAGCCAGCCCTAAAAGATCGACCGCCCTACCCCACACCGGAGCCAGTCTCAGCCTCACCTAACAAACTGCATGTCCCGGAAGTATTTGCAGCTGGCTACTCTACTAAACTATACAAATTGTCAGATTTCTCTTATTAACCTTAGCCAGACAGAGAGCTATTCCAGCTAGCATACGTTTCAGTACTTCTAGTCTTGAATGGCCTCTCTAACGCAATTTCTTTTTCATAGGCCAAGTGGCCGGTATAGTAGAAAGAATAAATAGTCATCATGCGGGGGGCGCATATTCCGGGATGATAGATCAATGATGAAAACAGTTTGTAAGGAGTATTCTGTGTCTCTCTGGCCAGGAGAATTCCAACTCCCCTAGTGGCAAACTTTACTTCCCGCCGGTCTGCGCCTCGACGTATCTGTTCTGCCCGATACCCTGGAAGCAGTAAAATCAATGTGGAATGTGCATTAGTCTTAGCCCGATCACTTTTGCGCAGGCTTTGCTGTTCATGCATGATAGGTGGAACGCGGTTGCAGGATGATACTGGAGGTGGCATCTCATGCTGGAAGAGATCGGATCCGTCATGCAAGGGAGACCCTGCAAAGACGAGGGCAAAGGACAGGTCATATCGTCTTCCACCTCCGCCCAGTATTGAACCAGGTCCACGACCATGAAAGAACCTGCTTCCAATGAAGCCAAAATCGCGCATCTTGCTCTTCTCAGCCCTTCTTCCTCCACAAGTTGCTCTCTTACAGTGCATGAAATGGACGAGTCTGCGCCAGCACCCCGTCCGACCGACCAGCAACAAGAGCAAGCCATGCAACGCGCTCATTTCCAATTCGCCCCCGACAGGCATCCCGACCATCGCTACAGCAGCCAACCCAAGGCTTTCCTTCCAGAAGAAAATGTAGAGACCGGTCCCTTATCGCACGTGGTGGCCGGTCTCCTCAGCTGTCTACTGCTTGTCACCATCGGCCACCTACGCGACTTCTTCCGACAGTATCTTTGTCGCGGGGATCACCACCTCAAGATGCAGAACGGCTACGCCCCAATCATCAGCGTCTCCGAGAGCTTCTACATGCGCCGGTTGAACATGCGCGGGGTCGACTGCGCGATGCGACCGACCACCGGGGTGCCCGGGCGCAAGATTGTCCTCCTCGATCGTGGCAGTCACGACAGGAACCGGTCCTTCTTCCTAACGGGGACGCGGACCGAGGCCCTGAACCTCAGCTCGTACAATTATCTGGGATTTGCCCAGTCCGATGGGCCCTGCGCCGACGCGGTCGGGGACAGCATCCATCGCCTCGGGACCAGTGCGGCCAGTAGCTCCCCCGCCGTGACCTGCGCCCTGCAACTCGAGGTCGAGCAGGTGCTGGCCCGGTTTGTGGGCAAAGAGGCATCCATCATCTTCTCTATGGGGTTCAGCACCAACACCAGCGTGCTGCCATCCCTGGTAGGCCCGCGCAGTTTGATCCTCTCGGACGAGCTGAACCATGCATCGATTCGGATGGGGGCCCGCCTCTCCGGGGCCCCGACCGCGATTTTCAAGCACAATGACATGCACGCTCTGGAGAATCAACTCCGAACGGCCATAGCCGAGGGCCAGCCGTCGACTCGCCATCCCTGGGAAAAGATCTTGGTGGTGGTGGAAGGGCTCTATTCTATGGAGGGCACCGTGTGCAATCTCCCCGCCATCCTTGCCCTGAAACGGCGGTATCGATTCTATCTTTTCATCGACGAAGCCCATTCAATCGGGGCTTTGGGTGGACGCGGACGGGGTGTCTGTGACTACTTTGGGGTTGACCCAGCCGAAGTGGACGTCTTGATGGGGACATTGACCAAGTCCTTCGGGGCCACGGGGGGTTATGTCGCCGCCACGCACGAACTGATCCACCAACTCCGCGCCACCAACCCGGTTCTGACATACGGGGAGCCGCCGTCTCCTGCGGTGCTCGCACAGATCGCGACAGCACTGCGGATGATCAGTGGCGAGGGGCTGGTCCCAGGGCACGGGGCGGAACGCCTCCAACAGCTGGCCTTCAACTCCCGTTATTTACGCCTGGGGCTGAGACGCCTGGGGTTCATCATCTATGGCCACGACGAATCCCCCATTGTGCCCCTGCTGGTCATCAACCCGGCCAAACTGGCTGTGTTGTCGCGGCTGATGCTGGAGCGCAAGATCGCGGTGGTGGTCATCGCGGTCCCCGCCGTGCCCCTGGCGCTGTGCCGGGCTCGCCTCTGCGTATCGGCCGCCCACTCGCTGGCAGATCTGAACCAGACGCTGGCGGCCTTGGACGAAATTGGGGATGTATTGAAAATCAAGATGTCGAGCACCCCCGCGACAGGCGCCTTAATCCCGCCGCAAACCAGAGGCAGAAGCTGGCGAGAATCACGGAGCCCACCACGGTGGCCCTTGAGCGAGGTGATCGAATACGGGGTTCAGGATGCCAAAAGACCTTTCTAGAAATGAAGTTACTGTGTCTTCTAGTCCGGCAGGAATACAGTAGGCCCTTAGCTTTCCAGCTTGTGACAGATATATGGGGTCACGTGACCTCGGATCTTACCATCTCTTGGAGAAACAGCCACATAGCCGTAGCTATACTAATCAATCTATTTATATTTTTTCTTACAAATTATAAGCCCTTATAGCTATGTTTCTTATTAAAAATAGCTTTATTTATTCTTTTTATTAAAATCTTTTTATATGCACCGATATCTACGATATCAATAGCTTTTTATATCTTTATTTAACAAATTATACAGTTTATTAAGGTAGAAAAGTCTTTAGAGTATTTTAGCCGGCTTGATATCCAAAACTAATATCTACTAATCTACTAATTATATACTTTTTGTCAGAGTGCGGGCTGGCTGGCAGGGTGGTAGAGCAAGCGAGGACGGGCAGGCTAGTTCTAAGATTTCTTTAATAGATCAGGGTCCAATATATATTGTTGTTCTAATACGCTTCTTGTTAAGCTATATATACAGACTGATAAATAAAATATAGCTTAAAAAGCTATAAAAAGATTTAAAAACAGATAGATTTTTAAGCAGATACAGGATTATATACAGCAGATAGTTGAAGAAGATAGATTAGATTATTAAAATTAATAAAATTAAATAAATTAAGTAGGTTAAGCAGATCAAATAGATTAATAAAATCAAATAGATTAAGCAGATTCAAAAAGTTAAATAGGTCAAGCAGGTTAAGTAGATTAAATAGATTAAATAGATTAATAAAATTAATAGGTTAAGCTAGAGTAGATTAACCTGACTGTTATACCTTAATCTTAATCTGGCTATAACCTGGCGGTCAGATTAAGATACAAAAAAATTTTAACTGTACGGTTATAGTTAGATTAAGATATAATTATTATTTTAACTGTTTATATCTGCCGGTTAGAAAAATCAGATATAATAGATAGATTAATAACTGCAGATTAATTAGTAATATATATATTTTTTTTATACAGATAATATATAAAGTATAATATACTTTTAATTATAGTATAGTAATATTTTTTAGATTTAGCTTATTTACTTAATATTATAGTACAGTTCTAATTCTTTTAACTTATTTATTTAATTTATTTAATCTGTTTAACTTACTTAATCTACTTAATCTATTTAATTTATTTAATTTTTTTAATTTATTCAACTT